GCTATGTGAACATAAGATAAACTGTTATTATTACCATGATGTCAGAAGTTATTTTAATCCTGTTGGGGAAACTTTCTGATCAGAAACCAAAATTGCTCTTTAGACAGAAATAGCATTAGTGCTGGTAGGTCACCTAAACCTTTGCCCTCGTGGCTTCCCCATGTCCCTTCTAGAGGCACAGGAGGCCACTCAGACTTGGAAGGCACAGCCTGACAGGAGCAGGAGCTGTGGCCCAGACTCAGTGAACCTCTGTGAGTCAGTTGGCAAAGGCTTCTGGGGAGCCTCTCTCTCTTTGAACCTGGTCCTAGCCCATTCACTTGGAAAAAACAGGAGACTTCTCCCAAGGGCAAGGAATTCAGATTTGGGTTTTGGTTTCCAGCTTTTTGTAATCCTCAACCTGGGGTTTACAGTACATGTCTCAATTATGTTTCATTCATCTCTCCACAAAGGTAAGGACAAGCATTGGTTCATCTCTTTACACCTATACATTCCTAGCACAGAGTGACTACTCACAAAAAAAAACATATGGAATACATAAGGACACTTTAACTATTTGTTGACCTCATTTCTAAGTTTTCAGTGTTGAGCCATCTTCTGATTTCTAACCTTCTTTAAATCCCTCTAATTTTAGGTTATAGTACAGTAGAAATTTAATTGTAGCTGATAATTATTGAGCACTTACTATGTGGTCAGCACTGCATAAAATGCTTTAATATAATTCTTCCATCAAATCTGTAGAGTTAGGTACTAATGCTATCCTAACATTAAATGGAGAAAATAAAGTTTAGTGAAATTAATTAATTTATCCAAGGTCACTAAATTATTCAGTGGTAGAAACATGATTCCAGACCAGGCAGTCTGGCTATAAATAAACTCTGAGCCACTCCCTTGTAGAAGACCTCCTGATGTTCATCTCTTAAATGGCTGGCAACAGGCATGTTCATAGTATTCACTGTGTTCAAATTTCTACTCACATCATATAGGCCCAGGGATGTGTTACCCTTTATTCTTTTTTTTTTTTTTTCAGACAGAGTCTTACTCTGTCACCCAGTCTGGAGTGAAGTGGCCCAATCTTGGCTCACTGCAACTTCTGTCTCCCAGGTTCAAGCGATTCACCTGCCTCAGCCTCCTGAGTAGTTGAAACTACAGGCATGCACAACCACGCCTGGCTATTTGTGTATTTTTAGTAGAGAGAGGGTTTAACCATGTTGCCCAGGCTGGTCTTGAACTCCTGACCTCAGGGATCCACCCACGTGGGCCTCCCAAAGTGCTGGGATTACAGGTGTGAGCCACTGCGCCCAGCCTATTCTTTTAAGGTTGGATATCTCATGCATTTGATTAGTCCAATTCGTCTTTTTAGCATAGTCTTATGCAGTAGATATTAATAATCAAGAACGTGCCATTGTTCTAGGATCACAGAGAGAAAAAGAAACAATTTTGGGTAGAAATTTAGCAATTACTATTAAAGATGCTGGAACGCTTATTTATGTTTTATCATAGGGGTCCATAGTCATTGCCTTCTCACAGGAATATGACAAATGACAGAACCTGTGATTCCAGAAGGCCAGGATGATACTGGTGCTACAAAGGAAGTCATGTTAGGGTGTTGCTCTTGAAAACTCTGACGAGAGGGTGGAGACAATTGTAGGCAATAACTACTGGAAATGATAGGGATGGGAATTTGTATGTTGCAGTCAGTTTCTTTGCCGCCTGAAATTGGCAGCTGCAGCATCTTTGGCATGTGGACCAGGGATTGCCAACCGCCGACCTGTAGGACTGGCGTTTACTGTTTGCTGTGTGTGTAGAGTATCATTGTTAAAGATAGGTTATTGAGAACAGGCAAAGAGGGAAGACATTTGGAATGCTGTCTCATTAGACTTTACAGCTCTGATGTTTTCGCAACCAGCAGAGAAGTATACATCCCTTGCTTTCTTCATAAATTTTAAATAGCACTGGCTCATTTTTATCTGTGTTTTTCAAACCTGTGTTTCTCTGTTTTTAATTTTTGAAATCATGTTGTGCCAAAAGAAGAGGTGAAGAACCACTGAACATAGTATGCTTTAGTCAACAGAACACTGGCTCAGCATGACAATACCTGGGCTCTCATGCCAGTTCACCCACTTACTCACTGTGTGACCTTAGAAAAGTTGCTTAACTACTCTGAGCTTCAATTTCCACACCTATAAAATAAAGAATTCAACTGGACAAACTTTTAGGTCCCCTCTTATTTTCTAATTCCCTGTTATTAGTTTATTCACATTTCATATTGATTTGGATTTTCATTTTTGTTAAAGGAGTATAAAATAAATTCCATACAGAGAAAATGAAATAGGCTTCTGCAGCTAACAATCTCTCAGACCTTAAATATAGTAGAAACCCAAAAATACATACTAGCCAGGAAGAATGGTTCATGACTAAAATCCCAGCACTTTGGGAGGCTTAGGCGGAAGGATCACTTGAGGCCAGGAGTTTGAGACCAGCCTGGCCAATATGGTGAACCCTGTCTCTATTAAAAATACAAAAACTAGCCAGGCATGGTAGCACATGCCTGTAATTCCAGCTACTCAGGAGGCTGAGGCACAAGAATCGCATGATCCTGAAAGGCAGAGGTTGCAGTGAGCCGAGATCATACCACTGCATTTCAGCCTGGGCGACAGAGGGAGACTGTCTCAAATAAAGAAAAAAAAATAGTATGTACTGAATTGATTAATTAGTCGACTATTTTAGTGTTCTGGGAAATAGAAATTTCATAAGACTGGCTAAAAGTTAACATGAAATGCCCACTCTAAGGAAAGGATATTACTAGGAATAACTTTTACTGGAAAAGGTTCCAGGATCTAGACTTAAAACTTAAATGTCTAGTTTTGTAGCCATATTACCCACATT